CGCTACCATACCTCCTTTCCCTCCATCTTTTCCTTAAGTCCTAAGATAATTTCCTCCATTTTTCCCACCACAGCGTGCGAGCGAGCCAGGCACATGGGTGGGATGTGGAGAAAACGTTGCTTTAGCCCTTCCCTAGGAGGGTAGGATCCGGGCTGGAATTAGGGAGGAGCTCTGTCGCAGAATTAGCCTGGATTTTATTCCTGACAAAAGAATTGGTCTGCCGAGGTCTGGAATTGTTCTGGCGGACTCGCCGGAGGTATTCGAATTGCGCTGTGGAGCCTCGGAATTGGGCTGTGCTGGGCCTGAATTGGCCTGTCCGGGTGTCGAATTGGCCTGTCTGGGTGCCGAAATTGGCCTAACAGGGTATTGAATTAGCCTGACAGGGTATCGAATTGACCTGTTCGGGGTGTCAAATTGGCCTGACAGGGTATCGAATTAGCGTGTTCAGGGTGTCGAATTGGCTGTCAAGTTGGCAGGATTAGCTCGGGCTGGCATCCAAAAGCACATGACTTTTAAGGAATTTACAGAAAACTTTGCAAGAGGACCGCTTACAAGTGCCTCATGTGCGTATTAGTTTCGATCCCACGACATGGAGTGGGAAAACTTGCACACCTGGTTACCGTACTCTGGCACTACTACTACTACTACGGGAGACAAGCACTCAGGGCCACGACTGCATTACCCAGTCAAGTCAGTCGCCGAGGCCCCACTGTTTTCCTACCACACTTCATCGGCAGTTTGTCCAGTTTATCCCACAACACTCGTATGCATGAACAGGTTCGGGTGGAAACAATGACAAATCTCTGATACACCGCTAAACTCAGTACCACGAGCTACATTGAAAACAAATGAAAATGCAGATGTCTGCCGAGAAGAATATGTTCACCATATGCAATCTATGCCTTAATCCATCGAGCTCTCCGTTGGGCGGGGCATGGCCCATGAAATCGCCCCCGGTATTCCGCCCATGCAACCAAACACTGACACAAAACGTTGCACGCCTGGGCCCATGTAAACCACGACACTTCCGTGTGGATTGGCTACCCGCGCTCCCCATGTCAGGGGTCCTCCCTCCTGCTGTTGACTCCCGGATTGCCCACGCACAAACGCCAAACGTTGGCGCAGAAAACAGACAGGCCATTGTAGTATGGCATCAAACCACGCATAACCCACAGCGGCTTTCAGCAGCAGTATTGCTTGGTGAATGCGACCGGCCGCGTACTGCCAGTCTTAGCACCGATGAACCACCCCCTGATGCCGCCGCTGATGCAGCAGGCATATGGGTCTACACCGCCGAGCTCTGACCAGTTTGTTTTGAACTCGCCTACACAGGGTTGTAAAACAAGGGGGGCATTTCTGTTGTCATATGGTATGATGTTTCATAGACGTCGGTATGTATAACATTATACAATTGGGTGGGTG